TTAGACTATGGCTCATTTGGGTTTGACTAGGGTTTGGGCCTCAGGGGTGAGGGTCAGCTTCAAACTTCTGGCTCTGGGCTTAGTATTTGCATCTTTGGGCTGAACGGCTTGTGATTTCAGGTTTAGAGCAAAGGAGACGACAAGGGAGGAAATATAGCCCTTTTTAAGCTGGCATTCAGCTGGCGTTAAAATTGAGATGCAAGGGCCTGAAACCTTTAGATGCTTGCAGACCGTCCAGTTGGACTTGGGTACTGCAGTGGATCATCTCATGGGAAAATGTGGTTGAGGCATATACTCTGGTCATATAAGGCACTAAATGTTTTTGTTTTTGTTGATCATTCAGGCTTCTGCATTATAGGAGCCAGCAGAGTTTGGAATCAGACTTCGAATCATATCTGAAGTTCTGTAAGGAACCTTCCTAGCATTTCTTGACACTCTAGACGTATAGGGTGATACAATGATGGCATTCTCGAAGGGCTTTTATCTGTGGCAGTCATGATAAAGAATACGCGCGTGGTCCGCACGAGTCCCAGTACCTGGACTTCTACTGACCAAGCCCGATATGAGCCACTAGTAAGATCAACGTCTTGGACGTGGATTGGAAACCGATCTCCGGCCTACTGCAGCACTCAAAGCTTTCAGGAGTGGGGTAACTACCTTGGAAGATATGACATCTAGCTTCCCCCAGTACACTCGCGCCTGTTCCTCATCTCCGAACGCGGGGGCAATTTCTACGACTGCAAATTCCATCCGACAACCAGCCCTACCCAATGGCTGGGAGGCACATGTTTCCAGGCCCCGAATTCCATAAGCAGATGTGACCATCTCTGGAAAATGTCCATATAATCCCCTTTGAAATCCAGCACCAGCCCAAAAAATCCCTCACTCCCATGAATTCACCCAACGCTCTCTCCCAGCCTGTTACAAATCCAATGTAGGCATCTGGCGGTAGAGTGATGGTCTCACCACCCAGCTCAAACTCCAGGTAGGGGAGTGTCTCCTGCTGCCAAAGTCTAAGCTTGAAACCATGGCCCCTAGTAGGGGCCCTTAACCCTGGTACCTACTATATAGCCTGTATGCACCCTTGAGGGTCCCTGAATCCCCCTACAAGGCTTAAGGGCCCCATATTAGGGGCCCATGCTTCAAACCTTAGGCAAAGCCCACAGGGGTGTAGGGTCTGGGGTTTAGGGTGGGGGGTTGCACAAAAACAGCTTTTCAGGAAAAATGCTGGAACCAGCAGTGGAGCTTAAGGTTAACAAGGAAACCTTCGAAAGGCCCGTGTCCTCCTCCGAATTCTTACCATTTTTATTACAACGGCTACTACTGTATAGCGATATTAGGACGCCTGAAGCTAGTACTATTGCGGTTCCAACTGCTGTTGCTGAGGGAGTGGAGGCGTGCTTCTGCAGGCTCCTACCGTGGTATGCAGTGTTCGGCTTCCAAGGACGTGAGTTTGTTGACTACATCCTCCCTCACGCACCTATTTGGAGGTCCACGGTCTTTGTAGCTTACTTGAAGCCACACATAAAGCCGAAGGTCAGCCCCATAAGTCACCCAAATGGGTGGTATTTGGATTGTACTTGTATAGTTTTGCTTGATGCCCAAACGATGCCAAGTAAGCCATGGATTGCGAGAAACAACTTCAGACAAACCCCAAACTTGTAGTCCCGATATATCCCTGGATTTTTTTGGCTCAAAATACCCTAGATTGGAGTACATCCCAGAAAAAGTACAGACCTTTTAGGTATAAGTTGTCATAATAGGAACCCAGCAACCAAAAAGATTTCAAATTGTATAGTACTCTAATATTAGGACTAACATTATTAGGCATCACCTTGATGATCATAATCCTCAAAGGGCTCCTGTTGCGCACAATTTGCGCCCATACCCTCCTGAGCTGACATTCGTATGACGTGGAAAAGCGTGCCAAGCAGCCATACGGCGAATACCATCTGTAAGTGATAAACTGCTGTCAACTGCACTTGTTGTAGAAATTTAAGGACATTACTTGTTGGTCTCTGCACGAGGCTTTATACATATAGCCGCTGTTAGGTAGATTCATGCTATCCGAGCGAAGATGTGGACTTGGGACATGCCTTGTACAATTAACTATAGCTTCCTCAGACCCATAATAAAAACAACAATTTTTAATATTTCCTTAGGGTTATACTATAATGAAAATTCAGAATAATTCCTAAGGACAGTACAGTTAAGTCCGGCTCTCCTACTCTGTCCTTTGCAAATCTTTACTCGTCAGGTTCCCTGGTAGATGTCTGGCAGGATAGGGTTTTGGGCTGCTTGGGAGAAGCAGCCACAACAAGCTATCGAGCATAGCATACATGAGCCCCCTACCCGAAGCCTGTACCAGCATAACATATTCAAAATCCCCTTAAAACACCTTGTATGATATGGCCTTTGGGCCCAAAATCCTTCAAATTTGAGTCCTTAGATGCCTAAGGTAAATACTTGGATTTCATATTCCCAAGCAGGAGTCCATCCTGACCCTAAAGCCTCAGTGATACCCACAATGGCTGTACCCCATATTAGCTATAGCCTAAACTCCTAGTATCCCCCTTAATAAGCCGTAGAATACTCTCCTATCTAATCCCCTATACAATCCTCTTTAAGGAATCTAGACTGTAGCTCATATGCTATCAACAGCAAACCACCCCAGAAGCCCCAGACTTCCCTGGCTTCCCAACCCAGAAAAAAGCAAGCAGGCGAGCTTCCAATAGCTTGCCGATGGCCTGCAAGGACAAGCAAAATCCCCTTCGGAGTTTTCATGAGCCGCTTGTCTGAGTGATGAGAGCAATACTATCTCTCGAGGGCATAGAGGGGAACCTCTCTCTGAGAAACACCGTACCTTCTATTCAAGCTAGTTGAAGTGAGGCCTACCTGGGAAACTTCTCTCCAGAGCTCCTGAAGGATCTGAGGTTAGGGTTTCAAGTTGTTGTGAAGTGCTTGCGCAACAGACTCTTCTATGTTTGTTGCGCCGCGCTTCCTCCTAGTAGCGGTACTGATTAGTCTGAGCAGGATGCTGATGATGAACATGATGGTCTGTCTAGAGTTTGGGGTTTTGGGATTCAGGGTTTGGGGCCCTGGTTGTCTACAGGTAGCTTCGGACAGGATATATGCATATTTGAACGGCAGGATTCCACTGGCTCATAATTCTATCATGGCTACCGTCATTGGTCCTACATCGTGATATGTACCCATGCTTTGTCTAAAATATACAGCAGTAGTGCTACTCTTTAGAGCAGTAGTACAGCATCGTCGTCAACGACAATATCATCATCATCATCATCAGCAGCAGCATCATCATCGTCCTCATGAGCAATATTCATCGTCACATGCTGATTGTTGCTATCATTCTGACTAAAACTATTCAGAGAAAGGTTGCTGTAACCTGCAGCCAGCGTGCGCTGATAGTCGTGGTTGGGCCCGAGACCAGGGAGGTGCCCGTGTCCAAAATGGCTCCACAGCCCTGCGGACAACCCACCTTGAGAATTGGAGCGTAGTTCATAAGAGGCAGGACATATTCTGGGGGCCGGCTGTTGAATCGTGCAAGAACTCTTTTTCAGAAACGGCTGAGACCTTAACCTAGGAACTTCCAAGACAGGAACCAAGTTTTGCAAGGGAGGGGACCCCATATAAACCCCCAAAGACAAAAATCCCTTTTCTGGGTCTCTCATTTATGGCAGCTCCCGAAATGACCGAGGAACCGTATGGGAAGAACCGTCCCGTTGCACCAGCCGGACGTTCTTCAGGCTGAGGCCCCAAGTCACGGCACCCACAACAGACAGCCTCTGCTGCTCTTTTTTTAGGAGTTGAAATGATGAAAAAATTAGGGAAGTAAATTACGGTAGGGCTTATAGGGAGATATAGGATTAATTAGGATGGACTGTGGGGTTGACAAAGGCTTGCGATCTCATCACCGGATACCCCGAGAATTATAGCTTCTCCCTGGTGCTGCGGAATGCCGAATTTACTGCATGCACCATACCACTGGCTACCAGGACTTGGACCCTAAACCCTAAACCCTAAACCCCTGGCCTTGTCGTAGGGCCCCAGGGCTGTGGCATGAACTGTTTATATCCGTTACTACAGCGTTTGTAGGGGTTATATAGGGATTATAGAGGGATTATAGGGTATATATTGGGGTTATATTGGGAGAATGGAACAAAAAATGGAAACTACTATAATGTATTTCTACACTGACCCTTGCCGAAAAGCCTGCCTGCCGACTTAACTTACCGGTTCCTAGTAGGGAATATCGAAATATGTCATATCGGGATGATATGGTCATATAGAGATTATGTTCGCATATTCCCCTCTACAACCAGCAACTTAAGCTGTCAGTCCTGATTGACATCAACCATACCTGAAGAGAGACAGTTAGATGTCTCATCAGGAAAACTTCCGGGTAGGCATTGTATGACATCGCCTGTTGTTGTTGCCATTGCTGTGTCTGGTACAATACTACTACTGTAAGGACTGCCAACACTTAGTCTTTAAACATCTACCCATCCAATTCACTACTCCTCTGTTACTAATGCGGTTGCTGTGTAATGTTGAGTCCACTGCGATGGTTAAGCCCTTATTTGCCCTTTGCATCCTATCCCTGGTAGTTTTGTTATCTGAGATATGTCCTGCCTTCGGAAAGGCTCGGGTCGTGATGTTGGGGCCTTGTCATTCCAGACCAGGTAGCCCTTGGAGCCTGGCCAAAGCAACATCGTACGGGTGCTTAATATGAATATGGGAATATAATCCCTAAATCTTCCCTGCTTTATAATCCCTTCCCTGCTAAGCCCCAGTAAGGCGTCTGGCTGCTTCTCTCCGAAAAAAGCTGAGATCAGCAGCAGTGTCAGCACCACCAATTTTTGAATAGTAATGATAATCATCATGAAGAATAGTAATAGGAATAGTGCTCCGCCGAGCGTAAACGCGCGCGCCGAATCATCGGCGCGCAGCTCTGCATGACAGAATTCCTTCCAAAACGCAATTTTCAGCAAGCCCGCAACTTTGAGGAGTCCCCCGAATACATATCAAAAGAAACTGGGATTTTTAAGCGTGCCCTTGCCGAAATACGACGTTTTGCAGGGAGCTCTCATACGTTGTTCCCTGCGATTCACTTCCCCCCCCCCCCCCT